TGGTGTTCCCATGTTCTGCTTGAACAACTGTTTCTTGGTCTATGAACAGGTTCCTCATGAGCACAATTAAGTGTTTCAGAAAAGTCATTCTCCACAATGTTGTCCATAGCTTGTTATGATCCACACAATCTTAAGCTTTTTTGTAGTCAGTGAAGCACAGGTAAATATCTTTCTTGTATTTTCTGCTTTCAGCCAAGGTCCCTCTGATATTAGCGATGATATCCCTTGTTCCACATCCTATTCTGAATCCAGCTTGAACCTCTGGAAGTTTTCTGTCAATATATGGTTGCAATCGTTTTTGGATTACCTTTAGTAAAACTTTACTCGCATGGAATATCAAAGATATTGTCTGATGATTTCCACATTCCATTGGTCACCTCTCTTTGGAATGGACACAAATACAGATCTCTTCCAGTCAGTTGGCCAGGTAATTGTCCTCCAAATTTCTTGGCATAAATGAGTGTCTTTAGTGCTGCATCAGTTTGTTGAAAGATTTCATTTTGTATTCCATCAATTCCCGGTGCCTTGTTCTTTACCAATGGTTTCAATGCACCTTGGACTTCCTCTTTCAGGATCATTGGCTCTTGATCGTATGCTACCTCTTGAAATGACTGAACATCCAGGTGACTGTGTATTTCTTCCATCTTCTTTTGATGCTCTCTGCATCATTCATTATTTTGCCCAGAGAATCCTTCAATACCTCAAGCTGAGGTTTGAATTTTTTCTTCAGTTCCCTCAGCTTGAGAAATGCTGAGCGTGTTTTCCAACTCCAGGCCTTTGCACATTTTGTTATAATATTTGACTGTATTCTTGAGGTGACCTTTGAAATTTTCTGTTCAGCTCTTGTATCTCCTCATTTCTTCCATTTGCTTTTGCATCTGTGTGATGAAGAGTAAGTTTCAGAGTCTTTTTTGACATACATTTTGGTCTTTTTCTTCTTATGACCTTTTGCTTTCTTCCTGCATTATGTTGATGTCATCCCACAACTTGTCTGGTCTTCGGTCTCTAGGGTCTAAGGCATCAAATCTGTCCTTCAGATGATCTCTAAATTCAGGCGGGATATATTTAAGGTCATATTTTGGCTCCATCTGGTGAGGTTCAGTTGTCTGGTGTGTATAGTTGTCTTTTATGTTGTTTAAAAAAGGTATTTGCAATGAACAAATCATTGGTCTTGCACAATCCTATCATGCGATCTCCAGCATCATTTCTATCACCAACTACTGATCCTTCTTTGTTTCCAACCATTGCATCCCAACTGTCAGTATCAATACATCTTGGTCGCATGTTTTATCAATTTCAGACTAAAGAAGTTGGTTGTTGTTAACTGCCATCAAATCGGTTACAACCCATAGTGACTCCATATAGGGTTTCCAAGGAGTGGTTGGTGAGCTTGAACCACCGACCTTGAGGATCAACCAACTTTGCAGTCCAGCGCATTAACCCACAGCGCTATACTTGGGCTCCCAAGAAGTTGGTTGAATTCTTTAATTTCATCATCACTTTTAGTGGTTGATGCATAAATCTGCAGTTAATAGTGGTATTAACTGGTCTTCCCTGTTATTGTTGTAAGGTGTCATTGAGTTGGTCTTCCCTGTAGGCACATGGATATTATCCTATCACAGACAGCGTTGTACCTCATAACTGATTTTGAAATGTTCTTTTTTATGATGACTGCGACACCATTCCTCTTCAATTTGTCATAGTAAACCATGTGATTGTCTGATTCAAAATGGCCAATATCAGTCCATCTCAGCTCACCAGTGCCTAGGATATCGATGTTTATGCGTTCCATTTCATTTCTGACAATTTCCAATTTTCCTAGATTCATACTTCCTACATTCCATGTTCTGATTATTAATGGATGTTTACAGCTGTTTCTCTTCATTTTGAGTTGTGCCCCATCAGCACATGAAGGTCCCAAAGGCTTTACTCCATTAACATCATCACGATCACCTCCCCTTTGAGGAGGCAGCTCTTCCCCATTCGTATTTTGAGTCCCTTCCAACCTGCGGGGCTCATCTTCTGGCACTAGATCTGACAGTATTCTGAGGCTCTTCATCATGTTTCAATATTCGATAATCTGGTGCTGACAGTGTTCCACTCCTGTTCATAAGGTTTTCAGTGAGTAAATATTCAGAAGTAGTCTGTCTCTCCTCCTTCCTAGTCTGGCTTTGTCTGGAAGCTCAGCTGGACCCTGTCCACCGTGACTGACCCTGCTGATAATTTAAAATACCTGTGGCATAGCTTCCAGAATCACAGCAACTCACAAGCTACTGCAGTATGACTGAGTGACAGACGAGTGGTGGAGGTTAATGTCTCTAAAAGAATGCATTTCTACTCCATCACTCTGGACTGCAGCTGTGGGTACACAGCTGGGGGACGAGGCAAAGCAGGCGAGCTTTGGATGAAGGCTGTGGCATTTGTAGTTTGACCCACATCAGGGACTGCTGCTGGCTTGCCTGGCTCTCGGAGCTCCTGGGTGGAACAGCGTGCAGTAGCCTGTTCACCTGAAAGGTTGGAGGTTTGTTTCCACCTAGAGGTAACTTGGAAACAAGGCCTGGTAATCCACTTTCAAAAATTCAGCCACTGAAAACCCTATGACACACATGGAAACCCTGTGGAGTGCATGTGTCCTCTGACACACATGGAAACTCTGTGGAGGGCATGTGTCCTCTGACACACATGGAAACCCTGTGGAGGGTAAGTGTCCTCTGACACACATGGAAACTCTGTGGAGTGCATGTGTCCTCTGACACACATGGAAATGCTGTGGAGGGCGTGTGTCCTCTGACACACATGGAAACCCTGTGGAGGGCGTGTGTCCTCTGACACACATGGAAACTCTGTGGAGTGCATGTGTCCTCTGACACACATGGAAACCCTGTGGAGGGCATGTGTCCTCTGACATACATGGGGTCTCCAGGAGTCGGGATTGACGGAACTTCACCTGGTTTGGTTTAGTTACCCAGCACCCAAGTCTCATAAGCAGACACTTGGGAACCAAGACAGCAGTTTGCATACTGGGAACTCTGAGCAGTTTGTTCTGTGGTTAGGTGCTGTCATGTCAGTTCTGACTCATAGTGACCTTGAACACAACAGAATGAAGCCCTGCCCGCTCCTGCACCCATCACCGCTGCTGCCCCTGTGTCTGTCCGTCCTCACAGCTGGTGCATTTGAGCTCACCCCTGCTGCCCCTATATCAGTGCATTTTGTTGAGGGTCTTGCTCTTTGTAGCTGCCCCTCTTCTTGACTGAGCATGACGTCCTTCTCCAGGTACTGGTCCTTCCTGACTCCGTGGCCAAAGTACAAGAGATGAAGTCCCGCCGGCATCACTTCTCAGCAGCCGTCCATGAGAGATTCCAGTCTGACCACTTGGGCTGGGACAAGTATGGACAGCTGTGCCCTCAGGCACTTTGCCATCTACTGTGATTGAATATTCTCCTCATTTCTAGAATGGTCTCTGACTGGATTACTTCCCCCCTCCCCCCGTCTTGTTTCCTGAGGGACAGTTTGGGGGTGGGTGGGTTAGGGTAATCGAGAGCTCAGGTCAGTTGCGCAGACCTCGATTGAGCCCTGACAGCTCGCCACCTTACTAGCCCTAAGACCTTCCGCAGGTATGGAACGTCACTCTTGAGATGTTTCCTGGTCTGTAAACTGGGAGGACCTACCTCAGAGGGTG